AACACCAAACCAACAAAAATATACTAAAACTGAATTTATGCTAAACTCAGTGTGGAGTGTAGGCCAGAGATTGTACAGAATAAACAAATTACATTAGTGAGCTTTTAGAAATGCCGGTAGGCAGATATTGTCACTTTTAAAGCCAAACTTGCTGTTGCTCCTTGGTTCCAGTCTTTTTGCAAAGCTAAGCTAACCGTCTTCTGACTCCAGCTTCACGTAGTGGTATCAATCATCACATGTAAGCGTGTTTCAGAAAATGGCAAACTTTTCCATTTACGGAACTTAAGCAGTGTATTTACAGTTGTTTTGGGAGTAACCAGTAAACGAACAGGCTGTGTGAACTGATTGCGGCTCTGCTTTATTTGGCCTTGAGACTTCTTCCTTCAGCCCCCATCCATGCAGAGGATGTGCAGCTCTGAGGTGGAACGTTCCCTCTGTGGGAGTACTATGTGTCTCACGTGGGCTGTGTTTTCCTGTCATTAGGCAGAATACCAATTGTGCACATCTTACCTACCTACACAGGGGAAAGAGAGGGAGGGTGTGTGTGTGTTTGTGTGTGTCTGGGGGCAGACAAACAACCTTCAAGGTGTTTTAGATTGTTGTGGGGAACCAGCTGCAGGCAAGGGAGCATCGTAAGCCCCAAATGGGCTAAACAGACCAAAGTTTTAAAGGCCTGCAATTTTCTTTTCTCCCCAGCCACACGACAGGACTTCCTAAATGGTTTATAAACAGATAAGGATCTACAAGCATGAAGAGACACAGAATGTAATTAGCATTATTTGACTATATACAATATGCATGGCCCTTTTTTCAGAAACTAACTTTCAGCTGCCCATAAGTGTTAAAAATGATCCACGTGTGCAAAGACACACACATACACAGTGACCCTGTTTCTCGTGAAAAAGAAGAATAGATTTTTTACTCGCTTAGGTTTCACCCCCAGAGACAAATTTAAAAAGACTTTACTTCGGTCATGAGCCGTGGAAGAGGAGGAGGAGGACCACGAAGGAGGGGAAGGAAGGGAGTAAAGGAGGCCGCTTTGTGTGTTCCCTTCATCTGGGAGACATGTTGGAGAGGTTAACTGTCGAAAGTTGAGAGGTTCAGTTAGAGGTCCTGCTCCTGCGATCCTCTGGGGAAGAAACTGGGGATGCTGTATGTGTGTGTGTGCAGATCTGAAAAAGGCAGGAGACCAGTAAATCACTCAGGCGAGAAAGAAGAGTGAATGAATTAGTGTGAATGAACGTGATGAAAGAGAAAAGAGAGAGCAGAGAGTGTGGGAGCAGAAAAAGAGAAAGGCAGAGAGAGGGGGAAAAAAGTGATGACAGAGAAAAAGAGAGGACAAGAGGAGGTAGTAAGAGGAAGCGAGGGGTTAAAAGCAAAAAAGAGGTAGTAGGGGAGTGGAAAGACTTCAGGGGAATGAGATTTCAATCTGCTGGAGAAAGAAAGGAAGAAATAGATATTGACAAAGAAAGTATAAGAACATTAAGGGGACACCTTTTATATATAGAGAAAAGAAGGAATATGTAGAAAAGAGAGTGAAAGTGGGACAAGAGAAACAAAGAAACAGGAGTTAAATTAAGAAAAGGAGAAAGGGGGAGATTATAGCGGGAGATATACAGTATGATAAAAGGAAGAGAAAGAGAAAGATTAGAAAAGTGAGAGAAATAGAGGTAGAGCGTAAGAAAAGGAGAAAGAGTGAGCTGTTGGGCCCCTGATGAGAAAGCCATACAGCTGAACGAACACATTTCCCAACCAGGACGAGAGGCTCCTGTGAATACCTCTGTGTGACTAATGTCTTTTTCACACATTTCACCTTCATCCATCCATCATTGTGTCCACCTCCTGCTCTCCTGTTAAAACAATAGCCCATCATGACAGCAAATACTAGAAAACTACTGTAACTGTTCTCCTTTTATATATAATCAGCTTAATGTATACGTCACCTTATTCACCTCCTACATCTACAGCTGCATGTTGGAGGAATAAATATAGATCCTTGTTTTGTTTTGGTGACAGTTGGCCACTGCTGGCCAGTGATGTTGTGTTTAATTTTCTGAAGTTTGAGACCCTGCAGGAAGGCGGCAAAGCCAAGGCAGTTACTGTTGCTCATCCTAACTTCCTAGTCCTTCCTAAAGAAATACAAAAAATATATACTATATATAAATGCAACTAACTATCTGTGCAGCAGATGATTTTTTATGAAAAAGAAGTCTTTCACTTTTACTTAAAACAGCAAATGTTACTCTAATGTTACTTAACAATATTAACTCTTACAACTTGAGATCTTGGAATGTGGCGACATGGCTAAAAAGAAGTCCTAACAGGGCAAGAAACACGATCAGACTTTTAAATAAGCAACACTTATGTGGAAGAGAAAACAAAGACTAAATTCAAATTAAATCCATAAATTACTTGATAACCGAAATTATGATCCAAATTGTCTATTGTAAACATCCAATACATATACATACCAACTTCATGGTTCAACTTTGTTTTTGTTTTTTTATAATTCTCTTTTTATTGGTATTCAGCAGTGGTCTCGTGTTTCTGTACAATGTATTCCAAAAACTGTACACACATCCCCTGTTCATGTTGTTGTAACAAATGATCAAATTCTGCTTCTCAGAAGAACGTATGTGTAATACCAAATAAACATAGAGGAAACAAACAGAAAAACAACAAAACAAAAAAGCAACTATGTACTGATAGGGAGAGCTCTTTTTAATACAACACAGTTACTGGATTGTGAAAATAAAGTCTGGTCTATGGAGTGTTACATTTTTCCCATTGTGAGGCAAAATTTTCATGGTTCAACTTTGTGCGGATACACAGTTTTTCTGTACAATGGGGGTTAATTTCTGATATTTCGGGTTCACTCAATTTTGGTTTTATCTCCAAATTAAGTGTTTTAAATAATCTGTTGTGACTTGTTTATAACCTGTCTTGTCATCTGCCCACTTGTATCTTGCCTAGTCACATGTCTTTGTACTGATGTAGCCATGTTTCCAGATGTTATAACCTAGAAAGATCACAAATACTGTTGTATGAAAAAGGTCCCAAGTTGTAACAAGCTGAAATTATCCTTCAAGCTTTAACAAAGTTGTTTAGTAGAGTACATAAACAAAACAGGTTTTTATTTATGGAAACATGCTGCATATTGTTTTTTTATAGGCACCATGGCAACTACAATTTCAAACACCAGTCTGGATTACACAACACACAAAACAACATTTTACACACATCAACACAAAACTATCAACAGTCATAACTCACAAAAACAAGCAATATCAAAATAAGCAAAAGAAATACTCTACGTTAAAAAGGCCACAGTTAAAGTAAAAACAATAAAACAATTGAATGAAATTACAGTTAATTATTTAAAAACCCAATGGCAGCTGGAACGAATGAATTCCTAAATCTGTTATCTACTGTACATATACTGTTGTTGCCTTCCATGTATTTCTTATTTGCACTACAATCTGCTTCACTGGGCTTCATCCTCTGCTAGGACCACCTATTCCTACTCTGTGATAACATCCTGACTTATCTTATTCTATCTTTCTTTCTACAACCCACCAAAAACTCACTAAAAAAACAAAATAGTCCAAGTCTATAACCCTTTTTTCACAAGGGCAAATTAATGGCCTCATACTCAGTCTCTGGCATCAGGCTGAGAACAGTAATTCCGCGTGATAAGAAAGTATCAGACAAAAGGGGCAATAAATTAAACACACCTTAAATCGGTATATTGCAGTTGTGTTTACATATGTTTCTAATCATTATAAGACCATATGTATTCTTCCAGATAAGCCTCTATCAGGCACATTGTTCAAATTCAACCACCCTTTGTCCTTCCTTTAAATATTACTATTACTACAGGACATGACCTGAAGTGGGTTGTTTTCTGATGGTTTTCCATACAGTTGTCCTTGTACAGCCTTTTGTAGTCAGTTAGGACACTTTGTTCGCTACATGGTGGCCTGTTATGTGTTTTTAGTACTATATTAGGGGGGTATTGTTTTAATCCAGAAGGAGTAATGAGAAGCCGAACAGGGATGCACTGGACCCTGTTAACTCCTACATACCTCCTGCTTCCAAGTCTCTATCTTCCTGTTTGTCTTTCTTTGTACTACTCTCCTTTTCTGCCATATTTCTTTCTCTTCTCAGACTTACTCCCTTAAATTCCACCCTCCCTCATTCCCTTCTTCTCTTCTTACCTACCTTCCTTCCTTCCTGTCTTTCTCCTCTCCTGTTTGTTCTCTCCACCACCCCCGACTTCTCTCCATCACTCTCTAAATTCCTCGCGTCTTTCCCAGTCAATTCTGGGCCTGCTCCCTCACCCCCTCTGTTTTTTCTAAAGTGCAGTTTCACATTAAACCGGCTACTGAGCGGTCAAGGTCACGCCTGATTTCATGTCTCGACACGACATCTCAGTTGATATTAGTTTGGCTTTGTGTTTGCTCTCTGGGGATTCTATTGTTGTCTGTGTTAAATTGTAAATGTTTTAGCTAAGCCATTATAAACTTTTTAAAGGTTAAAGGATAATTCATGTCTGTTAAATGCCATATTTGGAGGCTTCTTTGGTTCTGAGAATAGTGTGGTTGCAAACGTGGGGATAGGGGCATGTCAGGAGAATAGGCATTACGAGAGGCCAAGATATTGTATCTCTGCCAAAGTGGGTCAGAATGACCTATTAAGGGAAGAATCTGAACAGTGTGGACACTAATTAGACTACAGTAACTACTACTCCTTAATTGCCAGTTCTACCCAGTTCAACTAGCTGGAAACAAAACTTTTTTTTTAAGCAAATGAGCTAGATAAAGTTTCATTAGCAGACATACTAGTTGTTTAATCCAAATCTGATTTATTACACTTTGCATTAACAGTCGGAAGAGGAAGTAGAGTGGTAGTGAAAAAAGATATTTATCTGAAAATATCACAGTGTTTATTAAAGTATTTCCTAATCTCAATAACTCTCCTTTTCCTCTCCAACCCTTAAGGTCCACCCAGGGTGTCAGAGCGGGTGGCCCATCGGCAGAGTGTCCGTCTGGGTCGCACCATGAAGCTGCCCTGCCCCGTAGAGGGTGACCCCCCGCCGCTCATCATGTGGACCAAAGATGGCCGCAACATCCACAGTGGCTGGACACGGTTCAGGGTGTTACAGCATGCTCTGCGTATTAAAGAGGTGGAGACTGACGACGCCGGGACTTACATCTGTAAGGCTACCAACGGGTTTGGCAGTGTAAACATCAACTACACACTCATTGTTATAGGTAAGTGATTTGTAAAAACAGTGTTAATGCGACATGAGACACCAACACAAACCTTTTGGTTAAATCTACAAAATATGAATAAATTGCACCAGTACTAAAAAACACTTTTGCAGACTTGACAATTATTCAAAAAAGTTGTTGATTAACAGCTCTTTAACAACTTTTTTGAAGACTTGTTTTCTTCAGTTATGTGTTGCATAACATTTTTCAAAAAAGCTTGGCATAAATCTATTAATGTCATTGGTTACACATAAAACTTATTTTGAAGGAGTATTTGTGATTCTACAGGAAAATTACATGAGTCTTTTGTTGAGGTGCGTAATTTCTTATTAGAGTATGTGTGTTTGTGTGATAACAGACTAATGAAAACCAGCCATCCATGAACAAAGCACAAGATTTCACTCTTTTACTTCTCCCCATTAATTTAAGTTTGCATTTGCTCTACTGTACCCACATCTTCTTTATCACACAGTATTTTTCTTTATTTTTTAAATTTGCTTTACTTGCTTGCTTCCACTTACTGCTGTGTGAGTTTCTAGGATATAACTAGCCAGGTTAGGTTGGTGGGACCATTATGCAGTTCCTTAGACAATGAAGCACTGCTTTTGTCTGAGTTTTTATGCTTGTGTGTGTTTGTGGCCACAGTTGTTGTGCTTGTGTGTTCCTGTATGACTATGAATGAGACTTTGTTAAAGAAGAAGCTTTTGTTTTCCTCCCTGATTGCATTTGTGTATAGGACATTGCGTCAGTGTAGTATGGAATGTCACATCTGTGTGTGTGTCTCAGTTTTGATGTCTTTTTAAAAGACACATTGTTCTTTTTTTCTACATAATGATTTTCCAATTTTGCATCCAGAACACTGAGTCGGTGGTCAGTGTGTCTGGGTGTGTATATCTTCATCTGTTTACCTCAGTTGTACAAACTATGAGCTGTCATGTGGTGGCTGCAGTCTGTGACCCCCGTGGACTCTGACAACCTTGCTGTTTAAATACAGGTGTGTTTCTTTCTATACTGGAACTCAAAGCTTCCCTCAACTCTTGTCCATGTAAACAAAATACCTGGCGATGTCAGCGTGTCACTGCACATTTGCACATGCAGGCCAGTGTGTGTGTGTGTGTGTGTTTGTGCAGCATTCCAAGTGTTTATCTACATGCCTTTCTGTACGTAAGTGGGTATGTGTGAGCTTTGAGCTTCTTTCACTATATCTGTGGAGCTAACTGTACTTGTCGGGCCCGACTTGCTTTTAGGATTAGGGTAAGGGTTAAGATTAGGCGTGTAGTTGTGATGGTTAGGGTTATGGTAAGGGGCTAGGGATTGCATTATGTCAATGAGATGTCCCCACAGGGATAGTGGAACAAACGTGTGTGTGTGTGTGTGTGTGTGTGTGTGTGTGTGTGTGTCAGGTTCCAGCGTTCCAGACAATTTTACTTAAGCAGCTCTCTCTGCCCAATGTCAGCACCTCAAAGACAGGCTCAAGTTCAATGCTTCAACACAGATATTTGCAGCCCATATTGTCTGTAGTTTAATGATTGGAGATGATGTTTACGGTGTGTTAATAAATCTTGGAATATAAACGTTTAACTCAAACTAACAGTCTAACAAGATTTTTGTGGGAAACTTAAAAAAAACGCTTACTCTCCAGTAATCATTATGGGTATGTGATCCAAAACTGTATCGGTCTTGACCTGAACTTCAAAGGCAAGCTGGCATACAGAGGGCAGCAGGACAGGGTGGGGGCAGCAGCTGCAGCTGAGGTCATCCAGACAGACAGCTGCTCTCTCTCTCTCTTTCTCTCTCTCTCTCTCTCTCTCTCTCTCTCTCCCTCTCCCTCTCTCCCTCCCTCATTACCTGGCTCTGATCCACTGTCCCTTTCATTCACTTTCATATATGCATGCACACACACATGCTTCAGAAACAATGGATTGGGCGAACCCATATAAGAGAAGAAGTTTGCCATTTAAGTTTGTCTCATTGGTTACTCAGAATCAGTACATGAGGAAATTAAAACACCAAGAATGTCATAACAGTACCTTACTATGTTAAATAAGCAGTTTTTTATTTCCCAAAGATTCATTCTTTGACAAAAGACCACCTACAGTATCATCATCCAAACCTACACATGAACAGTTTTTATGAGCCTCCAACAATATAGGTGTAGTTGACTAGTTGTGGAGAATTTAATCTTATCACACTTTTTTTTTCTTAGCAAACAGTTGCCTACTGTCAGAATGTCAGATTTTGGATGTTTATATTTACATTTTCTGAGTCCTTTTAGGAGTTCTTGTCCATAAACGCAACATTTTTTTTTTACAGTCTACAGTTCATTGACACCTAGGCAAACCCCATCTGCTGAGGAAGATTTTCCAGTTTAATCAAAAGCACCAAAACAGCTACTTAATAGACTTTGATGTGAGATTGTGGTGTCAACTGCTGTTTCCAAGATCAAATATTCCTTTAAAGCAGTACTTTATTTAAAATCCTTGAGCTTTTATGTTGGCATGGATTGACAAATATTCCAGTTAATTTCTCTTAGAAAACTCACAAAGTGAATTTATTAAAAAATGTATTAAGACAACACATTTTGCAGACAAGATAACAAAACTTTTACATAGCACCGCTTCATATCCCAGACAAACTGGGATCAAGAAAATTCATCATCAAAAACAAAGTTCACATGCTGTATAAGCATAAGGGGCTACATCACTGCATATGCAGATTACACAACTGATACCCAGAGATACTTTGTGACTAACCTTCAAAGATGACCCCTCCCTGTAATTCAAGCCAGGAATCATGCCACAGCATCTCCTTACAGAGGCGATTAGCGTGGAAAGCGTTATTTTCATAGCTGGAACAATCTGCATAGGCAAAGATGTTCAAAGCATGGGGGTGGAATACACGGATGCATGGGTGCAGTTGCCTCCGTCTAAGAGCTGATGGCCTCATGGGCTCATCAGCTTATAACTCAATGAAAATGATTTCACTGTAGTTTTGCTTTCTGCTGCTCTGTTTCGTGTATTCCTCTCTCCTGTTATGCTTTGCCTCCTCGCCTTCTCCCATCTCTCTTCCTTCTGTCTGCTTTCACCTCCTCTCCTCTTCTGTGTGGTCCTGCTGTAATTATTCTACAACCACTCTGTTTCACAGTAATGAGCCCACACCTGTGTCTTATTGTCTTTGCCTCTCAATTTCGAACCTGAAGAATCTTTAACACCTTTTTCCTATTAGCACTCAATCATGGCCCTCATTCCTCCTTCCTCAGTCGGCCGGCTCATTTTACTCCACGTCTTAATTTGTATCAATATTTTCACAGTTTCCCATTTTTCACGGACGTAATAGCATTTGATTGCCGTAAAACATCCACTGTATTGCTGCCCGGTGGCTGGAAGTGATGGAGAGGCGTTTTGTGAAGGCAAGCTTTTGTTGGCGGAGGGAAATTAGAAGATCCCTTGAAGTGTTTGTTCTTTTATTGTGTGTAGGTTGGCAAATGGTTGCGTGAGTAAATAGTCTGTGTGCATGTATGTGTGTGTGCGCATGCTTGTTTATCTGAATGGTTGTGTGTTTATGTATGCGTTGGTGTGCGCAGATTTATGGGACCACCAGTAATGTGAAACTGAGAAAGATATTTTTTCTGCTCAACAAACCTCAGTGTCCTTCAAAAAGTGGATGCCGGGAGAGCTCTCATTATTCCTCCCACTCTTTTTCTTTTTCTCTGCTGTCTCTCCTATTTGCTTTTATGAAATTCTGATATTGTTTCCCTCCTCCTAGAGGAGTGAATGATAGAAAATTTATAGTTCAAACCAGATGTGATGACAATGGGAGCGTGTCTGGAGCAGGGTTGGGAAACTGTGCGTAAGAAGGAAGGAAGGAAGCGGTTTGGAGTCGTGTGTGTATATGTGGGTGTGGTAGTGTGTGTTTTTAGTGCACGTGATTGTGAAAATACAGCATTTTAATGAAAATGTTCATCAACACACTTTTGTCTGAGTGTGTGCATGCAGGTCCATTCATGACTGGTGTGATGATTTGCAGTGATTTAAGAGCTCTGCCATTGCAGCTGACATCTGCTCATAAAAGTCAGTGAAAGAAATCAAACGGCATGTTTAAACATGTATAATATAAGAGCTTGTACATGATTTATGTTCATCAAGCAGCAGATACATAATGAATTTTGAAATAAGAAAAGTGCGAAAGAGGAGATGTGACATATGGAAAATATAGCCGAAACAAGACACAAAAGCTCTGAATTAAGCTCTGCGGTTTTATGCCAGGATTAGTCCACTAACACTGCCAAACTCAACTAAAAACTATTATCACTTAATACAGACTGACATCCTGACGTCACACAGCTTAGTCCTGGGTGTCATGACAATTCCATGTGATGTTGCATGCAGACTAAATGGTTTCAAATTGTTGCTTCAGTCTACTTTTATTTGACAATGAGCATACACTTCTTTGAAAGCAAATCACGTTCCCTCATTCACATTTATTCTATCTCCATGTAACACTCTTGCGTGTGTGAGACTCAGCTGTCTTCTAGCCAAAAACGAACACATCAGATCAGGTTGCAGACCAACACCATCTTTCTATCCCTCAGTTCCTCCATCCTGATACCTTTCTCTGTTTTTGTGTTCTCAAATTTCGGAGTTTTTAATTGAGATATCTGGTGCCTCGTCTGGAGAGGATGTAGAGGTGGCCAAGGTTTGCAGACTAATTGGTATGAGTCATACATACACACACACGTATCAGTGTGTGTGATTGCACAGTGCCTAAAATCTCAAATAACCCAATCTCTTTCACACACATGCGCACGCACACACACCCACCTACTTACAAACACACCAGGGCAGCTGTGCCTATCTTGCTGTGTTTTTCTGTGTGTGTGTGTGTGTGTGTGTGTGTGTGTGTGTGTGTGTATTGTGGATTTAGTGTTTTTATCGCCAGATTCCTCTGCTCAGGTTACACTACTTTCTCACTAATGGCAGAAAAATGCATGGAGTGAACCT